TATATATATATATATATATATATATATATACCAATGAGATAAAAGTAAAGTTATAAGGGATGCTTTTTATCATAATTATATCACTGCTATTACATTCTGCTTTCATTCATCACTCTATGTTGCTTTAAAATAATAAGTATTTTGAACATTTGGAACTCCATCCATCAAGGAAATAACAACATAATCCTTGTTATTATTACAAGTGATATACTGTTTTCAAAGCCAGTGTACTTTGCACTCTGTTCAGTAAAAGGCGTTCCACATGGCACCCATAAACTATTTTCTCCTGTACTGAAACCAACTGGAAATAAAGCTAGTTTAATACATTTCTGCCCAGATTCAAATCCATTATTCAAGCTTGGTAATGTTGCTGGCCAGGTGTTTTGTCTGGATAATGGTTACCAATTGATGGATTCTCCATTCTGCATATGTTTGGAAAGGAAGCCTTCACTTTCCTTTCCTTGGGGTGGGGAGGTGCACCTTTGAAGTCATGTAGTTTTCACTGGTAGACTTTTTGAATGAGTCCTGTTACCTTCATTCCTTTCCCCTCACCTCCTTATGCTTAAGTCTTTTCCCTCTGTCATAGCTCCATGTTAGGAAGCAAGAAAAATATTACCTTTTTTCTAATCATTTTGGCTGAAAGGAAAAAAATAGTAGTACTATTGTCAACTTAACAAGGAAGAGAGGTAAAGAAGGAATGAAGATTCATTCAAAATTTTACTAGTCCATCAAAGAACCTGTTCAAAAAAAGCCATGCCACCTTTTCTGCAAGCAATTAACAGAAATAGCAATGGCACTTAGATTTATATACCACTTCACAGTGCTTTACTGCCCTCTGTAAGCAGTTTACAGAGTCAGCATACTTCCCCCAACAATCTGGGTCTTCAATGTACTGATCTCACAAGGATGGAAAGCTGAGTCAACCTTGAGCTGGGTGAGACTTGAACTGCCAAACTGCTGGCAGGAGGCAGTCAGCGGAAGTAACCTGTAGTATTGTATTCTAATCACTGTGCCACCATGGTTCTTACATAAAAATACATAAATTGCACAGATTGAATTGATATAACAACAAAGAAACAGCATGGATAGGTCTATATAGGCACAAGTAATGGACATAAGATTTGGAGCACAGCAACAAAATATGGTTGAAGGTTGCCTTAATGCCAATACAAGATCAAGGTGATAAATACATTCATTTCAGTGAATTTATCTCACTGAAGCATTTCCTGCCCATGATTTTAACAGGTTGGGTAAAGGATCCTTATGAAAGGCATTTCTTTCTTCAATGCTTATATTAACATGATGGCATAAAATTTACACAGGCCCAATAAGTTTCATTTAAACTTATGACTTACAGAGAAGCTTACAGAAATATTATATAAAACTGACAGTCATCTTATTAAACAATTATGTTCATAGTAATAGTGTTGCCAACAATAACAATATTTTAATTTTTCTTTGTCATTTCAGGGAGATTCTGGTGGGCCTCTGATGTGTCAAGAGAATAAAAAGTGGTTTCTGTTTGGTGTAACATCCTTTGGCTACAAGTGTGCACTTCCAAATCGCCCTGGAATTTATGTAAATGTTTTCAAATTTGTAGACTGGATAAAACGTACCATTAATTATTAATTATTTTTTAAAAAAGTAGAAAGAATATAAGATTGAAAAATAATGTGATTATAGCATCTATACAATAAAATGTGGCATAATCAGGCAAAAATTAATAATTCAAATTATGTCCAAGTTTGTGTTAGAAGTGATGTGAACAAGTACTTGAAGTGTCACTGCCATTTACCCAGAAATTGCAATAATTTTATTCCAGCTATTCTCTTAATGCTTGAATAAGTAAAGAGAAGGGTAGCTCAGATAACATACTGATTTGTTAAAAGTATAACCCTCAGTAAAACTGTGCCTTTACACTTACTGAGAAGAGCAGTTGACACCACCATGAATTAAACTCTTATACAGAGTCTACTGCAGATAGGCTGTGAATACAGTTAAATAATAATAATAAATATTTTTTCTTTTGTAAGAGATTTTTAAATGACTGCTTTTTTCAAACAGTAATGATATTTGTCATTACTAAGGCTCCAATCAGAAAACCTCAGTGATATACCTCCCTAATCATTTCCTATTAACTCAGTTTATTAAGAAAGTAGACAATGCAAAGTGTATGTATAGTTTATGTATAGTTTATGCAAAAATTCAGGATACAGTACTGATTAGCATGAAACTCTCATGTCTAGTCAAATGAACTAGAAAATACTATGGATCTAACCATTCAAATCAACCATTCTATTCTCAATGTAATTAATTTTATATGTTTTTCCTGCAGTGCATGATAGACTAATCAAATAATACTAATACTGCATTTACTATAAGATAGAAATCTTTGAAATCTTTGAAAAATAACTCATACCTATAAACACCAGCTTTCTATTGAAATCAATGGGAAATGATTTTATATTATTTCTGTGCAATCATATATGCATGTTTCATTTGTTTTAAATCATACTGTCAGAACGTGTTTAAGACATTCCTGTATTTTAAATGAAATAACAATCTAAATTTAGATAAGAAATATTACAAATTCAGAAGAGACAAACTTATAACTGTAATGAGAAAAATGTCAGCTTGTAAATAAATCAATAGTCTCTAATACAATAGTAATAAAATTATTATTTGATTAGGCCAAAACCATTCTGCATGCAGATTAGGATTTAGCAATTCATAATTCTCAGAGTACGTTTGTTAATACTAACAAATAATCAACTTTTCTCTTGAAAACTGCAGGAAACAAAGCATCTATCACATATCAGGTCTCATGATCCTGAATTTATATATTTAGAAATACCATTGTTTTCAACAGAAGCACTTTCTCATACGTACATATACAAATCAAAGAATTTTCAAACGGAGATTTGAGAATGAATCCAATATGTATATTTTAGTCTCAGTTCCATTGCAGCTAATGTACAAGTACTTGTAGTTGTACAAGTACAAATACTTCTGCAGTTAATACATGTTTCCATGTTGGCCAAGAGACAGAAAAATCCCACATTATGTTCTTGTTTTTAGGAAATGACCAGCACAATAGCATCAAACTCAACTCTATGTCTCTATGTCATTTTCTTTGCAGCAATGTGGAAACAATATTGCTATTGGCTTTTATTTTTTGAGGGAAGAAGGGAGGCAAGGGAATACCTATTTACATCCAAGTCTATCCTACAGCCATGATATTTCCTGGATATCTTTGATATAACCCAATCATTACGATAAGGAATATATTTCAATAGCCCTAGATGCATAAGGGAGACATATTAGATCAAATTGAGAAAATCTCTGTATGACGGAAACTTGAAAATGGCATCTTTAGCAAATCTGAATGTGTACAGTTTCTTAATATAGAATTGTGTGCAGTTATTTACCAACACACAATGTATGTATGTAGGTACGCATGCACGAACACACGCACACACATCTCTCTTTGGATATAGTCTCTAGCAACCTTTTCATACTTATCACTGTTATACAAACAGTAAGAATCTATTCTACAGATCTGTGCAGCTCTGAAACAGTTTCACAAATATTTTTCTTGGTCTTCAAAGCTAGACTTTTGCAAATAGGAATAAAATTTCCAAAAGAATAAAAATACTCTTAGCTGTCTGCAGGAAATATTTGAAAATTGTTATTTGTGTCAAAAGAAATATTACAAGAAAGATTTTTTAGCTTTTGATTACTTTCATATTCTTATCTTGAATCTATTTTTTAAAAAACTACACAATTCTTTATATATTCAAGTATGCATAAAGTGATGCTATATAGAAGTGGTGTCAACTTCTGTAACTTAGAGGCAGGAACGTGAAAGAGAGGGAGCAAGGGAGTGAGGGAGGAAAGGAAGGAAGGAAGGAAGGAAGGAAGGAAGGAAACTTCATGATAGTGTGTACATTTTATGGTTTTTAAGTGATTAAGAGAGAGTCTTTCTATGTGGCATCAGCGTGACTTCTCTTTCCTACGATTTAAAAACAAAACCACAAAAAAACCAGAACAGAACAAGATACCAGTATGGAATAAGTTGTCAACCATACATTTCTGCCATTGCTTGTTCCAACAGTAAAGCATACATAGGAAAAGCTACTTTTTCTTTCAGCTTGTTGTCAGGGAATTGAATGTACTAATTCTACTATTTTTGTACTAATTAATGGGACCTGAGTACAATAATTTGTGCTAACATTGGACAAGCATTATCAAAAATAGATGGTAGCAAAGAATAATCAAGTACTGTGCATCATTTTCTTTGCTTTAAAGGAATCTCATCAAATGAATAACACTAATATTTTTACATATATGAGATTATAATAACTCATATTCTAGTGTAGATTTTTTATGCAAAGATAAATTATCTTAATACACTGTAAATTCATATTAGCTGGAATTAATGTCCATCCATTAGCGAGAAATAATACAATATATATGAAATTAATAATGGAAATAAATGTTAAAGGTTAAATTAGAAATATTTTTCCACAACTGACACATGGAATGAATTCAAAATATTTTGTCTACTCATTAGTATTTGTAACCAAGTTACTTTCCTTAGCAAAATAATCACATTCTTTCTTTCTTTTTTAAGCAGGCTACGCTTGCTATGGAATTAAAAACCAAAAATTATGTATAAAAAAATGATCCAAGCAGTAGCCTCAAGGGGGAGCTTCCACTTCATTCTGTTGATCTGTTGCAATTTCAAGCCATTCCAAACTAATATTTAACAAGACAATCTAAGAAATCCTGAAAAGTATCATTTCTGCTTTCTCTTCAGCCAGTTTTCTATACTTCCAGGTTACTGTCCTTTCTGGGGTTCTTAGAAATCCACAGTGTTGACTGATCAGGGCTGGTTTTTGTTCTTCCTTTACTGGAAAATTAAAAACACAAATTCATGGCTATACATTTGGTTCACATAATTTCACATATTCAACTAGGAACTATGCAATAAAGGAGGGTGGTAAGGAATAAATCCTAAAAAACTATCTGAATATTTGTATTAGGAATATTGCTTCATTTACCCTGTTTCAAAAGTACTACATACATATAGCTTAAAACTGATCTTAGACATAAGGAAGGAAGCCTAACAGCCTATGTGTCTTGTGTAATATTTAACACTCAAGGCCTGTACCAATTAGCTTATCAATGACTTTTTGATATTGCCGAGTTTTTATAACTTCTGCATTAGTACAATTAAAGTATAAAGCAAAATATTAGCAAGAAGAAAACAGCAACCAAACAGAGGAAATCTGAGGAAAAGGTTAATGATTATATAAATGTGGGATATCCTCCAGTGAATCAAGCACCTGGTCAGGTGAGTACCTGAAGACCTGTTTAGTCAGTGGCTTCACATTCTATTGGCATAAGACAGTGTTTCCCAACTTGGAGAATTCCCCGGAATGTGAAATTTTACTCCTAAGGGGAATTCTGGGAGTGGAAGTGTATACGTACATCAGATTGCAATTGCCCAGATTGCTGTAAGACAAGGTAATATCAATCTAGCAATCCCCATTGAATGAAATTGCTCTTATAATGCCAACCTCTGAACAAAAATTGCAAACTTTTTGACAGTGAGGGCTGAATTTTGAGTGCTGTGCCATGGACTATGTTTCCCCAAAGGAGGGCAGGATAGAAAGTATTATTTTATTATTCATTGTACATTTAAAACTTTTACTTCTTTCACATTAACAATTGCAACTCAGTGACAAAAATGTTGATAGGCTGCAATAATCATATAGCTTTTGGATGATGATGGTGGTGATGGTGATGATTCATTTAATTTGCTTCCCATTTCTCTTCTGAAAAAGCAATCAAAGTGGTTGTTTTAAAATATTACAGCACCATGGAAGGAAGCCAATTAAAGCTATTAATGTTGATGCTGATTTTAAAGGATTTTCTCTGAACAAATATGGCAAGAACATATTCCCCAAACTATTGTTCAGTAGGAACACTGCTAACTTTCCATGAGTTTATAAAGTTTATCATAATTTCAAGACTGTCAAAGCTCAATGTAATAAATGTTTTTAATCTTTTAGAAGAATACTGGGTAGTTTAGGCACTGACATTCTGCCTTCCAAACAGAATCAAAAGATGACCTTAGAAACTGAGCAATGTACCAAGTTAGAATCTAAATGTTCTGTAAGAGATTCAGATGATAATGGAGATGAATCATTGAAGCAGTTTCTCCTTGCTTCCCTAGAAGAAAGAAAGGGAAAGCCTCTAAGCATGAATGGTTTGCCATAAAGCACAGGAGAAATGCTTGGTTCCTAATATGATGGGTTAATATCTGAATGTCCACTACATTGTTTTCCTCTTTATAAGCAAATATTTCTAACCTACATTCTCTAAATATTATATTTAACTTCCATAATTCCTCACTAACATATCACACATTTGGGAGGCAAGAAAAAAATATTTGCTGCATTTTCTGGAGGAAATAAAACAAACTTTTTTTTTTCCCTGGAGCTCATAAATATAAATATTTATATATGGAATTTCTACTAAAATTGCAACTTTGTATCAACTCCTTCCTCTTGAAACATTTCATTAATCTTCCTGTGTTTCTTTCCCATGTTTTTGATTGTATCTCATATACCTCCTGCTCAGTGGCAGGGAGTGAGCCTGTTACCTTGTTGGAAATTGAATGTCATAATTACCATATAGTTATTTACATTCATCCTTCCCAGCCACCATTGACATTTTGGGAAAGAGTTTGCAAATTCATTACATAAATACTCCAGAAGATTGTGCAAAAAAATTGCAACAAGACATCTTGTGAGTTCTCTGGACTGAATAGATGGCCTTGATTTTTTGTTTGTTTGTTTTAGGACACAACCGCTTATAGTATATTTGACAGGTCCTGCATTGCTAAGAAAATTGGAAAATTCTACATTAATGTAAGATTAAATATTATGAAAATAAGTGGATAGTGGATAGAAAGTTCTACATTGTGGAAGCATTGTTTAACTCTTTCCTCTGCAACAACAGTCCCACTTCACAAAACAAAATGAATAGTGACCATAATATTCCAAGAGGGGATGGAAAATGAAATGATCCATCTTTGGAAAATGGTTCCTTTGAATATTTCCAAAGCAGGAAATACTATTGAGCACAATTGCTTTTTCTTAAAGCAGAATATATAATAGAATATATTGTTTCATATTGCAAAACTTATCTGCTTTATTTTGATGTTAGACTGAAATGCTACTTTTCTAATGAAGTTATAGATAAGCAACAAGCTTATCTATATTGGTTTAATAATACTATTTGATCTATGATAGGGCCACAACTAACTCCCTCTATTTACGCTGCATATTTTATCTTTGAATAGGTGGCTACATTTTTAAATGCATTCTTCTTTTACAATACATCTACTATGCAATATTATTGATGTCATTCACAATGTCTAGTCTTGCATTTTATGTAGACTGGACTTGAACATGAGTAAGTGACTGATGTAAACATATATTCCAAAGTACATAAATCACAGATAGAAATTGTCATGTTTGAATTACCTTTTATGAAGCATCTGGAAACAGCAAGTCCCAAAAGCCACTAATATCAACAACAACAGTGGTATGGTTGGTATAACAACGTAAATTAAATTAGGAATTAGACCTACAACAAAAAAAATGTTATTGCACTTAAAAATATAGAAGGAGTAATTTTGTGTACTAAAATAATACATATATAAATATTTTACTTTGCTTGGTGTTAACACCATGCAAACCAAGGACTCAGAAAACAGTGATTAACACTATGTAACTAAATATTTTAATCCTGAAATTTCTTCAAAGCCTCCTAGCATTAATGGCAAAAATAACTTTTCCCTATAATATGCAAAAAAGAGAAAGTTTCAAAATGTATTTTAAAGTTGCTTATTTCCAGTAATTCATCCACCAATGGGATGGCAATAGCACTTAGACTTACAGTATATTGCCCTCAACAATCTAGGCCCTCATTTTACTAACCTCAAAAGGATGGAAGTCGGAATCAACCTTGATCCAGTAAGGATCAAACTCCTGACAGTGAGCAGAATTAGCCTGCAAAGCTGCATTCTAACCACTGCACCACCATAGCTCCTTTTGTTATACAAAATGTATAACCAAAAATCTGAATGAAGTAGAGTTCAAGTGTTCAACCCTTTGGTTTACCTGGCCTTCACTGTGAAGAGAAATTATCTTGGGTCGCATATAAAATAATAATGTGTAAATTTTGAAACGGATCAGATTTCTGTTTCTCAGCTTGACACACTTCGGGGGGAGGAGAGAGCTCTGGAATGTCAGACCAGACATCAACAACTTACTATCTTGTAGGAACCAAGGTCATCCCAACAGGTTCTGGACATAGAATGAAGGAGATGTCAGAACACCTAATTGGACAATGTGATCTATGACAAGGTTGGAAGGGGCTGTCTATTCTTTTACTATACTGAAAGCGTGGGAAATAACCAGAGCTGGTTTTGCATTTCAAAAGTGTCGATATGATGTACTCAATAAAACAATTCTTCGAGAAAGCTGAAAGTCTTTGAGCTGGTGGATTGGTTTGGCTCATTACTCAGAACCTTGACATAATGTGTATAATTCACATAATAATATTAAAGATTTACAGTCTTGTGAAGCCACATTACTGCTGTCCAGGCCACATACAGCCCATGGCCCACTGGTTGGACACACCTGTCTTAGAGCATATGAATCAATATTTTTTTTCATGAACAGGATTCCAAGGTTTATATGAAATTTGTTTTGATGTATATTCAAATTCATAGTTTTAACTTGAACCATATGAATATCGGGAAAACCCTAATCCATATGGCAAATCCCATCACAGAGATATCATCCTGCATCCTAAGAAATAACAAACTTTAATTGAAGGAATTATAAAAATTCCAACCCCAACCAAAGTTTCCAAGTCCAGAATAGATACAATTGGTAGCCAAGATGAATCTGTGCAAAGGTCCCGTACTTCAACATGAGCTGTGAGTCTAGAAAGACCTCCAAACTGTGCGCCGGCTCTATGCCAGTCCATCTAGAGCCAAAGATGATATGTCACCAGAACCTGCAGTGCTTAAAACCCAAAGCCACTCTATCTTGCCAGGATTAAATTGGAGCCACTTTCTTCCAGTTTCCATGCATTGTGTCACTGCAGGACATCATCCAGAGTAGAGATGTATAACTTGATATTATTGGCATACTGAGTTTCATACAGATATTAAATAGGAGTGGTCAAAAACCTGAATCCACCCCATAGTAAAGGAGCAGTATCATCTAGGCATACCAAGGTATGTCTATAGCAGCCCTTGCCACTACATTCTGGACCAATTGAAGCTCTAAGTAGTAGTTAAGGGCAGACCCATGCATATGGCAACAATCAAGCCTCAGATAATAAGCACATGAATGATCCTCTGTGCTCCTTATCCAGAAAAGGATATAGCTGGTGTACAGTTGGAACTGTACAAAGACCTTCCTGACCATAACATCTTTGTGCTTCTTTATTGATCCTAAAAATACACTAGGATTTAGAGAAGCAAAACATTCACCATGCAAGCATATGGCACAAAGCATAAAAGTTATCATGTGATTAATCAGCAACTGTATATATTAATAAGATGCTAACTTTTGGATTTCCAAGTTTCCACAAATGTATAAGAGGAAACCTGGTACAAAAGCATGTTCTTGTTGTCATGGCCAATAGGGCCACTTTATTATTCATTTATTTATTTCATGAGCTGCCATTTGTAAAAACTGAATTAAGAAAAATGTTAATTGCAAAAATGCAAATTTTAAGTATTTCAATGTTCAATTTGCATTTCCAGAAAATTATACTTGAAAATCTTTATCTAGCTGTAATTTATTTTCTGTTGAATCCGAGGATGTCTATCCCAAATTTATATCATTTTTCCGTTAAAATGCTAAGTGCATCTAATTGACTGAAAAATGACTTTTGAAATAGCATTCTGAAATGTGATCTAAAAACAAAAAATATCAATTACCCCCAGTTTCAGTAACTACCAATGGAAGATCATCTTCTGACTTGCTTGGATCATTAGGCTTCATGGCTGGCACTGTTGCTTGAACTTCTGAAAAAACAATTTTTGGGGTGGTGGGGAGGAAAGAATAGTAAAATTGTTTTTTATGTCTTTGTATCTGCTTTTGTAATTATACTTAGACAAGATAACAACATTGTACAGCTAATCATTTTTAAAAGCAAGTGTGGGTGATAAATTCTGGCTATAGGTTTTATTGCAACATTGGAATCACATCTGGAATAAAAGTTACCAAAACTGCAATATTCTAAAGGGCAGCCATATGCTATAAAACACATAGTTGGATATTTTTCTGAATTGGAATGATAGTTCAAATGTTCCAACTTAGCCTGCTTTTTTAATCTGTCTGAATGTTTTGAGTTCAAAAATAATTCACATTTTATTTCTTAACACAGCAATTAGGTCCAAAATGTTCTTACCATGATGCGAATCTGTTCTGTCTCTTGATTCTTTTTCTACAAGATCTTCTGTTAAATCAATAAGAAACATTTTAAAAGTATATTATTTTTACTGTTTGTATGCAACATCAAAAATAACTTTAAGAAACTTTTATAACTAACCTCCCCCAGTCTACTTTCATTTGGAAAAGCAAATTGAATACTCATTCAGTCCATTTTTCAAATAAATTGGACTTGTTGCTGTAACTTTCAAACCTCAAGAGGCACTAAATTGTAGAAGACTCAGTGAAACATGAATATGAAGCACTGTATTTCGTGGAATGTTATTTAGGAAAAAATTTTCACGGGTGTAGGTATGCTGGTCTTGTTGTATTCAGGTCTTTTCCCATGTAAGATTGAGATTGTCTTGGCAACTTTTCAGCGAGGTCTCACTCGCCATCTTCACCCAAAACCCAGCCTGAAGATGGTGAGTGAGACCTCGCCGAAACATTGCCAAGACAATCTCAATCTTACATGGGAAAAGACCCGAATACAACAAGACCAGCATGTGTGTTTGTGTGTGTGTGTGTATCCCATTCTTATTTCAAAGATCATGTGATATATATGTGTGCTCTGTTTTCACATAATATCTAAAAGTAAAAATAGTGAAGGATGGACTAAAAATATGGACTATATATAATACAACAGATCATAAATTAAGACATTCTTTTACACAAATATTTTATGAAGCGCATCTTACTTGGTTATTATTTTGAACACATTATCTGACCTAGTTATTACACTACTTGGGTGAGCTTAACTGAGCTTCTATAGCTCAATATAAGATATATAAAATCTATTAGATTGCTATTGCCCTGAATGATTTAGCAGCCTAAATGTCATCAGTATGAAAAATTCAGAAGACAAACACAAAAACAGTAACATTATTTAAAAGTAAACTATATTATTTCCTTAGTTCTGAGTCTAGCTTACAAGGAAAGTGCCATGGCTGATTTATCTGTGCTTCAGAAGTAAAGATTGCATCAAGAACCTGGTTTATCAAGCCCTACCTGACTTATACTTGCAGATAAAATTGTGCTTCATGTTACATCTGTCGTCATTCCATTGATAAAGATAAGGCCCTCCTAAACCCGGATTCGCAGTTGGCTGGTGATACATCACAACACAAGCTTCACTCCCACAGGAAGGCTCATCAGTATACCAATTTCTATAAAGCAGAAATATAACAAATGCAAAATATAACTTTCGAATCTTTATTATTCTGTTAAATAGTTTTTTATTCCTTTCAGTTTTCCCTTATTCTCAAGTTAGCTAAAATGTTGGGCTTTGTGCAACTCCTTCATTACATTTCCCCATGCCAAATAAGCATAAGTTGGGCAAAGATCTATTGCAGAATTTATACTAAAGTTATACCCCCCCCAAAAAAAAAACCCTAAATGTAAATTGTTTGCCTACAAGTCCATAATGGATGGAAAAAATACTGTATATGTGATGGTCTATAAAATATGTTTGGAAACATTATTGAATGAATATGGGAAGAAAGAAATATGTTATCCAAAATTCAGGAACAATTGAGACCAAAAATCATATTCCACTACATTTGATGGGCAATTCTTGGTAGGATGCCACCTATCATGTCACTAACACAGTAATGAATTATATATGAACAAGGCAGAAGGAAAAAGAATGGTACAAGGATAATGATAAAAATCCATGCTGATCTGAGGCGGCAATAAAAAAGTACAGTATGAAACTCACAGCTATCTGATAAAACCAAGATAATGCAAAAATNATGAACTTTTGCATGATATTCTAATTTTTAGAGTTTCATCTGTAAAGCAGGGCTGTCAAACTCCCAGTCTGCGGGCTGGATGCGTCACATGCTGGCCATACCCATGCCCAGTTTAGCAAAGGGGGGAAAGTCCTGATACATCACGTGATATCACTGTGATAACGTGAGTTTGACGCCCTGATCTAAAGTATGTTAAGAATTGGCAGCCCTTTAAAAGGACAGCTGGTTCTCATGTATGGGACCAGCTGTTAAAAGGCTGTCTAATTTGCCCTAATGTATAAAAACGACCTCCCTGCTAACAAGTATCCATAGAAAAGTAAAATGTGTCTCCTTTGGATATTAGATTTTAATATCTATTCCTGCTGATGGGTGCAATTATCATGTTTAAAATTGTCATGTTTTGTCACAAAATCTACATCAAGAGACAAATATCATTCCTGATCTTCATAGACTGTAATATGTTGCTTCTGTGACACAAAGTCCTGTCTAACCTAGTCTTTCATATATCATTAATTAGTTTCTATATGTCATGAATAGAATACTTGTGGCCTTCCTGATATTGAATTTGTCCCAACCAAATCTTTTGGACAACAAGGAACAACTGGAGAGACAGAGATTACTTATTCCTTTTTTAAATATATTATTTATTAGAGTTATTTCTATGTATTCTGCAACTTTACATATACCTATACTCAATTTAAACTTTTTTTTCAAGTTGAATGCAGCACATCGTCACATCAAGATCAGTATCTCCATTGTGAATTCTTGGCCCTCCCAAGAGCTTCCCCATTATAATTATTTGCAGTGGCATGACATGGATGAGAAAATCCATTATGTAATGCCTCAGAAAAATTTGGATCCTTGGTGCTCTTTTCTTGTAAATGTTTCATTATCCAAACTAAGTAATATCATCAGGATTCTTCATTTCAACCCTGAGCTACAAATATTCTCCTCTATTGGCATCAGAAAAATGCCTGCTCTATTTTGTAAGAATTCTGTATCCAGAACTGGCCAGTTATGCATTAATGGAGACAGTAGATTGAACTCTATCCCACAACAAAGAAAATATAAGTCAAATGTGTAATGTGACCTTCTTGTGAAGAAAAAGTGAGGTGGTTTAAAAAAAGTTTAATGAACATCCTTATAAAATATGCACATATATTTTCTTATAAACAGATACACAGTCTATAAGGTTGTTAGACATTAGTGTACAAGGAAATAGATATTTAAGTAAGCCAAGCCAACCTCCAGTGCTATTATTCTCTAAAGATATATTCCAAAATGACTAACTTGAAATTGGTGGTCCATTTTCTATTTTAGTGAACCATTTTCATACTAGTAATATGTATCAAATAATTGTAAGACAACGTCTGATAGTGATAGTCTGCTTCAAAGATTTTGTGGTTTGAACATATGAGAATATTTCAGGATAATAAAACATCTTCATTTGCTCAATTGTTGGTATATTTGCCTTTGGGTATTCATAATGTAAATAGAAAGGCTTATACTCTGTTTATTCAGACACTGACTCTAATTGACAGCTGTTCTCAAAACCTGAGCTTTCTCAACCATACTATCGATCAGAGGCTGTAATCACATTTGCAACCTTAGATATATCCAAAGGATGCTTCATACAACTTACTCTTTTGTGCCCCGGGGACAGAGTAGGACGGAGAAATGATTGCAGAATATATTGTACAGCCTTGGTGGAGGAAGGGCGAATACTTTTCTAGACATTAATTGAAATTAAAGTTTGGTGGATGTGCTGGGAACAAAAAGTATAACCACACATTAGAATAATTACTTGGAACATAAGCCAAAAATTTGGAAAATACATTTTCATTATAACCAAAATTACTATTAGTTGTATTATTAAATAGAATCATTCCATCATAACTGTTAAATGATTTTGAGTATTTTTGCTGGGAGAGTGACATGTTGTGATATTTAATGGACATACCATTATTAGCAGAAAAAGCCAGATAAAGCAAAAATATTTCAAAGTGAGTAGTATGGGAGGAGGTGGAGTGAGAAGGCAAACATGCTTGTAAAAATCAGAAGACTCAAGGATACAGATGTAGCATCTCAGTAGTGTTCCTGTCTAAATCTAAGCGTTTAGCTCTCTCACATAATATCATCTAAACTCTGTTCAACGGACATTGCTCATCTCCTGGGGTGTACAAAAGTAGACACGGATTACTTCTAGATATCCTTAGGATGCATCTACTTATCACTAAATAATTACAATGAATTTGGGATTAGGAGAAGTTCCGGAGAATTTTCTCTTTCGAAACTTTTAGCCATTGTTCAAAGGACCGCTCACAGCTCTTGGTCAGCTGCAGCAGGAAACAAGCAGAAGATAATAAAGAACAGCCCTAGAGATTAAAACGGAACATCCAGGAGCAGTTGAATCCACGGATGAACTTTTCTCTCAAACTGGAATAAATTGGACGCTTCTTCCCTTTACTCACCACTCAAGAGGCGCTGGGAGAAGCAGCTCTGCGCCCACAGCAACCAGGCGACCACCACCAGCAACGGGATGGGAACACCTCCCTTGGAAGGGAGCATAGCAGCGACCGGCTCAGGGAACATCTCACCAAGCCTCAAGAATATCAGAAGACAGCCTGCAGCAGCAGCGCCGACACCTCCCAGGGAACAAGTCACCGAAGGGTCTCTGCGCTGGGGGCGTAGTAAAAGCACTAAGCCGCGGCAGCTGCAGCAGCCAAGGCTTCCCGAGACCCCGCCTCCGGTCTTGCTGTGACCCTTCCACTCATCTCCTGCTCCAAGAAACGCAACGCCTTCGCTGGTCAACTCCTGCCCCAGGCAGACTTGTCTGTAGGGACGAAGAGGCTGGCTGCAAAGCCCCGAGATCGGCTTTGCCCTGCCTGTTAATGCTGGAAGCCGGGGAGTGGGAAAGCTTCAGCTGCTCTCTGCTGGTTATATAGACCTTTTGCCAACCGGGAGTCTCGGTTGGGGAAAAGCCGCCCCCATCCTATTGATCTCTAGTCTGAATGGAAGCCATGGAGCTTTCAGAGGTGGGAGGTGGGGGGGGGGCACTCGAAAACAGCGGATTCAGCAGCCCCCTCCTCTCCAGAGCTGGTTGTTGCAGCAGGGGCTATTAAAAGAGGTTGCCAAAATTCATCTGGCAAAGGGAAGCCGTCATCATCGATCTTTTCCAGTGTTCAGGTTTCATTGAGGGCTCCCACTCTCCCTCCACCACACCCCCAGTGGGGCTCTGTTCTAAGAAAACATACAGTATGTGGTTTTATTCTTCTGGGTTGTTAAACTTCCCTTCTTTTATCTGCATACACATTTCAGTCTGACAAACTCTATCATAAACCAGATAATTTTGAAAATTTGGTTTTTGATGTTGATGCTTAAAAAGTAATTAATGGGCATGCACAGAGTGCCTTTTGTAGATTTGTAGATTTTATTAATATTTGTAGGCCGCCCTTTTCCCTGAGGGGACTCAGGGCGGCTCACATAAAATCAGGGAGGGGAAATACNAGCAGCAGCAGCAGCAGCAGCAGCAGCAGCAGCAGTAAAGGAAGCTGTCATGTAAGCATGGGTAGCCCTACTTGGATTTCACAATGTTATATTGTGAAACTATAGTGTCTGTGTGTGTGTCTGTGTCATACACATTAGAAATAGCTATTGATGCCAGAATTGTTAAATTTAAATTTAATTGTGATTTTCAGTCTATTTCTCTTAATCAAAATATTTAAAATGTTATCCACAATATTTAAAATGTTATTTCTATGTTTTAGGGTATTAAGTACCTCATTCAGTTTTGTGGCATCTGCAAATATAGTGGCCCTTCTCACCAACTCATAACTATTAAATTAAAATATTGAGCAATAAAATACCTAGGTCTTACCCTTGTGGCATCCCTCTGAATCTCTCTCAAATATGATGGAGGATTTATGCTGCTCTTTGACCATAATACAGGTTGATTGATTGATGTAGGATTATTAAAGAGCACTCTTTGAGCCTAATCTTCAAGACAGCTATATATCCACTTAATTGTCATGCCATCCAGCCCACATTCAGCTAGCTAGCTAATCAGCATGCCATAGGGTACTCTGTCAAATATTTGGCTGAAATCAAAATATATTAAAGCTACAACATCTATTCAGGAAGTTACCTGATCAAAAAATGAGATAGTCTGGCAACATTTGTTCGTAATAAAACTATGCTGCTTTCTGATAATTATCACATTGTTTTCCAGGGGTTTATATATCACTGTCCTTGTTATCTTCTCTAGAAATTTTTGCGATATCAGTATCAGAATGTCTGGTCTCATAGTAGCCATTCCTGGAAAAGTAAAACTCACAAAGCTAAAATAATATGAAGAGAGACATTATTGCATTGTTTAGTTTCCAGACAGGACTGTATTCTAAATTCCCTGTGATATA